TTTAAAATCCGCTTCGTAAGCATAACACGGTAATGTTGTGTTGAAGCACAGTACGTATTACTCCACGAGGCTCCTTGCAACGGTAACCGTAATGCTCCGAGAAAGTGGCACTAAAAGTTTTTTTTGACAGCTTTTTGAGCATCGTGTACCACGTAAAATCGGTTCAAGGTCAGTAAGCACAAAGCAAATTCCATACATAAGGCGCACCAGATTATAAGGCGCACTGTCAATTTAAGGATTTTACGTGCGCCTTATAGTGCGGTAAATACGGTACTTACTAATCTTAAAAGTAGTGTCTGTCTCCTGAATCCAAACTGGAAGCTGGTTCCACAGAAGAGGGGCCTGAAAACTGAAGGCTCTGCCTGTCACGGCCCCTCCCCTCTGTGAACAGACTGCTGTGGGAGGGGCTTCAGTCGGCCTTTTATTACATCACTTCCAGGCAGAGCGACATTTGACGGTGGAGGTTTAGTGTTTTTGGGTGAACTTTAAAGAAGTCAGATTTAAGAGGAGTCAGAGACATTGGTTCATTGATTATTGACAATCGTATTATTAGTTTCATGTAAACACTGAGGACGAGCAGACTCCCCGGCTCCTGCTTCGTTTCCTGCTCTCAGCTGAGTGAGGTGGACCCTGTAGAGCAGCAGGGTCATGTGACACACCTCAGTCTGAGCACGTCCCAGAATCCCACCCACCCGCTCACCTGTGCCGATGTCACAGCGGCTCGCGGTCCGTTTTCCCAGCATGCATCATTCACAGACACAGAACTTCAGCTGTAATGACTTCAGGTAAAACCACCTGCTGCCCCCTGCTGGCCGGAGCCTCCATTACAGTCTGCAGAGTCAGCAAAGAAAAACTGAAATAAACGTTCGGAGTCTCAAAGGCATTCAAACATGAATAAAGCCCCGCCCCCTTACGGTCACCAGGACAGTCACCGTCACCTGACCTGAAACAAAATGCAAGTACTTAAAAGAAATAAGTAATGTAACTTAATTTAGAATCAGTCCTACTAACTGACAAAGTTCATCTAACATTTTCTTCTATTTCAGTTCAACTCACCATTTCTAGTATTTTCCATATTGAGTACCTGCTACTTTAAAAGCATAATTTCATTTTGTCAAGTCATCTTTGGAAGGTTTTGATTTCAGGGAAAAATTTGAACATTAAAGATATTAGTCTTTAGTGTGACTGATTCAGGTGAGAAACACAAAACAGTGAAAGTAAAATGTCTTTCATCAGTTGCTCACAGGTTGTTGCAGTGACGTCATGCACAACAGTTAACTCATTATTTTTGGTTTTGCTTCTATTTCTTTTTGAAATTTTACACAAATATTTTAAACATTTGAAAAACTACTTGACTAAAAACAACAAATTTACTGAATTCATTCAGCTAATAAGTTAGCGCAGCCACCTGACTACGCTAGCTGACCGAGTTCACAGGTGAGGCAGACTGCTCACTTTTACACCACGGACAGTGTTATTTTATTTTTCCTTTTTTGACACATGCTCTCTATTGTAAGCAGACACGATGACAACGTTTTTTAAATTTAAGGGGATAGAATGAAGATTGCAAAACTGGTAAAAACTGCTGTAATTGTTAGGTAAGTGACACGAGCTGGTAAGAGCACAGAGAAGCTACCCTTGAGTTACACGACCTGCACGTCTGCCTAATTAGATGTTTTACAAGAACGTCTAATTAGCAGAAACCAATGTGCCGGCCTCTTCACCCACTTCACTCATAAAGATGCTGGCAGGTCAAAACTTCCCTGAGAAGAGCCAGAACTATCACGAGTTCCTCCCGTCTCCCCCTTAGTGGGTTTTTCAAATGTTGTAACATGAGTGTGAAACACACCTCTGTGGACCAACGTGAAAGCAAAATGATTGGTTCAAGTCACGCAGGTCAATGCAGCCGTTTTATAGGATGTGAGCTGGCAAGAGCAGGGCTGTGATTGGTCAACCATGTGTAGAAATTAGAGAAGTGTGAAATCACTCATAAGTTGCGTATGTGTACGTATGACATGTTCGCTTTATGTTCCATTACTGATAACTGAGTGATAATGTTTGTGATGGATTGTGAAAGTTTTTCTTTCTCTGGAAGGATTATGTGATAGGTCAGTTTGAGTTGAGAAGGCGGAGTCTGAAAGTATATATATAGGTGGATTGGTGGATGTGTGGGATGGGTGGGTTGCCTTTTCGTAGTGATGGCCAAACGAAGTTTTGTGATGAAACATGAAGAGCAGCTTGAATCTACAACGTATTATGAAGTGCTTCATTATGATTGGCTGCTCTACAGAGCTGAACCGACAGCTCCTGTTTGATGTCATGTGACACGGTGCTTTGAACATGTGGGGGTTTTGAGGGGGGGATGATTTGATCTATCTTAATAATAAAAAGTAACCTGGCTGATTGAGCGTGCTTCAGCACTTTTAGCTGAATGTTTATACGTGTGTGTGTGTCTCCTGCTGCTGGGACTTCTTGATGGTTTTTACTAATAAGAAAAACAAACATAATAATAATAATAATAATAATACATTTTATTTGAAAGTGCCCAGAACACTCAAGGACAGTGTACAAGGTAGAATAATAAAAGGAGCATAAACGCAAACAGTTTACACAATCATAAAAGCATAAGACATAAAACAAATTTAAAATAGCAGAGTGGAGAGGTTATGTGGGATAAGCTGTTTTGAACAAGTGAGTTTTGAGTTGGGACTTAAAGACAGAGAAGGAAGAGATGTTTCTTAAATCAGGAGGTCGGGAATTCCAGAGTCGAGGAGCAGCTGAAAGCTCCCCATGGTGGCAAGACGGAGGGGACATAGAGAGAAAGGGAAGAAGAAGATCTGAGACACCGAGATGGGGCGGTGATCTGAACCAGATCAGAGATATGGAGGAGAGAGATGATGAATAGCCTTAAATGTGTACAAGAGTATTTTGAAATTGATGCGACCGGGAGCCAATGAAGCTGCTGCAGGACAGGAGTGATGTGGTGGACAGAAGGGGTCCTGGTGATGATACGGGCAGCAGAGTTCTGGACGCGTTGGAGCTTGTGGATGGATGTTTGAGTAAGACCAGAAAGAAGTGAGTTACAATAATCAGTCCGGGAAGTAACAAGGCTGTGGACAAGAATGGCAGCAGCATGTGGGGAGAGAAAAGGACGGAGACGATTAATGTTGCGCAATTGAAAATATGCAGACCGAGTAACATTATTAATGTGTGAATTGAAAGATAGAGTACTGTCGAGGATGAGACCCAAGCTTTTCACAGAGGAAGAAACGAAGACCGGCGAGTTATTGATAGTAACAGAGAAACTGTTGGTTCTGGATAATGTTGATTTACAGCCGACCAAGAGGAGCTCGGATTTATTACTGTTGAGTTTGAGAAAATAAGAAGAGAACCTGTGCTTGTCCTGCTAGACCTCAGTGCAGCGTTCGATACTGTCGACCATAATATCCTATTAGAGCGATTAGAACATGCTGTAGGTATTACAGGTACTGGCTGCAGTGGTTGTA